GAATGTCTTCATATTCTGCATTGATCATTTCCCAGCCTTTCTGAACTATTACAAGATTATGCTTGAATAATTCCATTGCAATTTTGTCTTTGGAGTTATTCTCATAAGTTTTGGAACGCTTGGCTATTTCTTCTTGAATCATTTCTACTTTCTTTGATGAAATCTTCTTTTTGGCAAGTGATTGACTGGCATTGGCAGTTGTTTTTTCATGTTCTTTAGGAGAAAAAGCAGCTCTATACGAATCAAAAGTTGGATCCAAACGTTTTCTCATTTCATACGAGCCAGAAAAAATTATTTCATTATCAACTTGATGCATGAGAATCTTTTTGAGATAAACGAGAGTGAAAATAGTGCACATCTTGTCCTGAGTTTCGGTTAATCTTGTTCCCTCAATAACGTCTCCCTCAATTTCATGAAATTGAACTGATAATTGCTTTCTCAATATGAAATTGCTGAGAAGATTACAGACGAAACAAAGCTTGTGTTGAGGAGAAAGATTATCGTACATATTTCTGAAAACAGTGTTATGTGAAAAGAAGCCACTATATTCAACAAAGACTATTCACCAAGATGATGATTAACAACCTTATTCGAAACAAGTTTAAACTTACCTTCCTTTTCAGGATGAGAAACATTCAAATCTACAAAACGCTCCCAATCTCTAATAATTCGTGGAATCAACAATTTGAATAATTCACAATACTCTTCATACATTGGCAATCTCTCCAAAGGAAATGCTATAACTTTACTACACAATTCGTCCCAATCATACATGCCAGTCCTTTCGTATTTGGTGTTGAGTAATTGCTCAGCCTTTGGAAGTGATTCACCCATTCCTGTGAGCCAATCCTCTAAAACTTGTTTCTTTTGACTCTCACTCATATTGGCAAAGGCTTTGAGAATGTATTTAACGCAACAAATTGATTTTGAAAACTTACCCTTGAGGAATTGTGTTGACATTTTTTTTTGGTTGTTTTTTCAAGAAACTAACTCTCAAAGGAGGAACATATTGGGCTAGGCTTGTGAGACAATATTGTAAACAAAGCTACTGGAGGCTATTTTTTTCAAAGCCTTTGTTTTTCTAGGTTCATTTCAAAACAACTAGTTTAACAAGTTTGGTTGGTGGTTCGATTCCTGGCGCTGTTAAAAATAGTTATTACTGGTGGTTTCCATTATTCATTAATTCTTTATGAGTATATTAGTTTGTTGTATCAAAGTTTGTATTAAGAAGTTAAAAAGAAGTTAGTGCCAATTTGGCTTATTACTGTTTTCCCGTCGAGATCTGTGTTGTTCAACAGTTCTTTCCACTTCCTTTGTGAATGCTCCTTCATGTGTATCCATCCAAAACTGGACAGCTAAATGGATGGACATAATAAGAGGTGAAATGAGTTCCAATCCTCTCACTTTGAACTTGGCAACTGAGAAAACAACCATTATTAAAACTAAAGAAGCAAACAATGATCCGGCCAATAGTTTGATTAAAATTTCAATGGTACATTCATACAGATCTTGTACATCCGTTTTTCTAAATGTTCCTTTTAACTTTTCATGAGCAGTATGAAGAATTGCCATACTAATCACAAAGCAGCCACTATTAACATCATTAGAGGAATTACCAGAGGATTAACAATATTCAAATGATATAATAAATATGAATCTTCACATATCTCTCTGATAATAATAACTAAAAAGAAACAAGCTAAGGTTGGTATGAAATGGGATTTTTCAAATAGAGAGGGAAATTGACATCTTTTTCTTATTGTTTCTTTGTTACAATTTTCAAATAAATAGTAAATCAGCCAAAGAAAGGAAGCAAATACTATGTAAAGCATTGAGCCAATCGCATCAAAATAATAAAATAGGTGTTGTTCCCATACACTTAAGCGTTGATTGTAAAGATAAAATTTTGTTTTCTTTGTGACCCAGTAAAAAACAATTCCACTCAAAAATATACATCCTATGACAACTCTAATAAAATAGTAAATAAACATTTTTGCTTTTTGAACCAGTGCACCACATGTAGATGTATGGTTAACAAAATCAATCAGTATACTGGCCCACAATATGATTGTAGAAAATGAAATGCAAGTTATTAATCCTCCATACGAAATCAAAATGTTATGATTTGGAGGCTGTTCTGTGAAAAATACCCATCCCAAAGATAATAACCCCAATGACACAAACATATTCTTTCCTGTAAACGAATTCTTTCGAATTTTGAATAATGGTATCACATTAAAAAACATTTTTTTCACCAGGAATAAAGCCACATAGGAAAAACTCATTTCCCATTCGAAAGTTTTCTTTTCTTCAGAATTGAAACAACAGCAACAAGTAATTTCTTTGTCTTGATGATTTTGTTCAAGGAAACCTTCATTTTCTTCACCGTCTGATTCACTTTCTGCCTCTTCAATGTTGTCTGAATTTGAAGTAGTTTGAGAAGTTCCAATATCTTTAAGTTCTATTGATCCACTATTAGATGGTGGTGCATTAGGAATTGCTAGTGTTATTGTTGATGTGGAAATGGTTTTACCTTCTGAAACTGAAGGATTATTGTTTGAAGAAGGTACATGTTTACGAACCTTTTTCTCTCTTTCATGTTTACAACATCCAAGGTAGAGTATCAGAATAATTGCACCTATTAATTGAGCAGCAATCACAATAGAATATGGAAAATAAAATAGTTGAATGCTTTCGGCAGGTTTGTCATTAATTGGATGGCATTCAAAATTTCTACTTGAAACTTCATAACAAACACTAACTGGTTGAGTTCTGTCAAAACATCCTTTGACTTGTTGGATAACATCACGATAACTACTGATAGTAATATTCTCAGAAGGGA